AAGGGAGGAAAAGAGAAAAAGAAGAATTTTAGGGTTTTCCCCTTTGTTTTGATTTAAAACAATTTCCCCATTAAGCCCAATCATTCAAGCCCAAACCCAAAGAAGGAGAAGTCCATCCCCTCCACCCAAGACCCAACATACCAAGCTCGGTTAATAAACATTTAATTGGATTGTTAGAGCCCGATAATTATCGATAAATTAAACAATAATTATCGCTAAATTAAATTAACATTCACTTTGAAATTTAAATGAAAAATAAAAATCTCCTGATTCGAGATTAACTGACCTGAGGGGCTCGGGGCGTCACACTAATAATTTAGATTTTTATATTTAAGAAATTTATAGGGTAAATGAACACGTAGTCTAATCGAGCAAGGTGTGAGTCGATATCATTTAAGACGAATGACAACTCAAGTGAGAGACGACATTGCTGATCAAATTTGGACAGCATTTGAAGGATAAATATTATTATTAATTTTAATTTTACTTTTGAAACTTGAATTGTATTAAATATTATAAACTCTTTTACAATGTGTATTTATTTTTAGAGTATATGTTATATATTTTTATATGCTACTAAATTTTATTTTAAGTAAGAAATAAAAATAAGCCAATTTGAGTTAAGACATATATTCCGACCTAGAGATCGTGAGTTCAAATCCACACTCCACAAGTTTTTGTATTAAAAAAAAAAAAGTGGGAAACAATTATCAAACATAATTTTACTCCTGTTTTTTTTTCTTCGAGGGAAATAAAATAGAAGTGGTTATCAAATGTGTTCATCTTTCTAATTTAAATAAAAATTTAGAAACAAGAAACAGAAAAGGAGAAACGAGAAACGGAATATAAAAAGGTTACTAAATGACCCTTTATATTCTATTTTGGTACCCACACTGTTATATTTCTTTTTTAATCTATTTTGTATTTAAAAGAAAAAAAAATTGTCACTACTGTATTATTTTTTTAATTATTTAATAGAAACTTGGCATACTTTTGTCTTTTTCTTTACAAGAGATTTTTGTTTATTCATTCATAAACGTGAACATAAAAACCCAATTTTGAAAAAAACAGAAACACATTACACTATTTAAGTATTTCTTCCGTCTGCTGTCTGTTGCGGCTAATCTAACATCCATAGCTTTTTCATGTGGGTTATTTTTTAATATACGTTGCAAAAAGATATGTTATACCTTGAACACGATAATTTTGTACCGAATTACACAAATAGTAAATAGGAAAGTTTCAATGTAATTTATATTACTATTTTTAAGTATTATTTTGGTTTATGGACGAAAAACAAACTCAATTTTCTATTTTCATGGATGGTTGGCACCACCTCCCAATTAGAGTTAAGCCACACGTTGTGTCTCTATAAAATGAGAGTTTGAAGAAAGACTGAATGAGAACTACCCTTCCCCCCACCATCCTCAAGCATGGGCACATTCTCCTTCCTCTACGTTCTCCTCTCCATCGTATCTTTAGCAGATGCGGGGGGATGGACAGGAGTGAACTACGGCCGACTTGCCAACAACCTACCCCCGCCTGCCAAAGTAGTTCAGCTCCTAAAAAATAATGCAATCTTACGAGTCAAGATCTTCGACGCCGATGCCACCGTCCTCACCGCCCTCGCCAATAGCGGCATATCCGTCACCGTGTGCGTCCCCAACCAGCTCCTCAAATACGCTGCTGCCAGGCCATCCTTCATGGACCAATGGGTCCAAACCAACATACGAAAGTTCTACCCGGCCACACTAATTACTACCATTGCTGTCGGAAATGAAGTCTTCGTCGACACCACCAACATCACACAGTTCCTTGTCCCAGCCATGAAGAACCTCCACGCTTCCCTTCGTAAGTTCAAACTTACTGACATCAAGGTCTCGTCCCCGATTGCTTTTAGTGCTCTCGCATCCTCCTATCCAAGTTCATCCGGCGCCTTCAAACCGGAACTCGTGGAGTCTGTTATGAAACCCATGTTGGAGTTCTTTCGCCAGACCGATTCCTTCCTCATGTTTAACATTTACCCCTTTTTTGCGTACTCAGCTAACTCCGATAAGATCTCCCTCGACTATGCTCTCTTTAATAACAACCCTGGCGTGGTGGATACTGGTAACAACCTAAAATACTTTAGCCTTTTTGAGGCTCAAGTCGATGCCGTTTATGCAGCTATGTCTGCGCTCAAATACGACGACATTAAGTTGGTGATTACGGAGACTGGATGGCCATCGAAAGGAGATAAGAATGAGCTGGGAGCTAGTGTAGCGAATGCGGCGTCGTATAATGGGAATTTGTTACGCAGAGTTATGATGGGAGAAGGGACGCCCTTGAAACCTGGGAGACCACTCAACGTCTTTTTGTTTGCGCTCTTTAACGAGAACCAGAAACCAGGTCCCACATCCGAGAGGAATTACGGCCTCTTTTACCCCAACGAACAAATGGTGTACGATATTCCACTCAATTACGACCAATTAGTTAAGAAGGGGGAGCTCGTCACTTGGACGCCGGGTGCGAGTACATTACCATCATCGAAGGGTCAAACATGGTGCGTGGCCAACGAGAATGCTGGGGCGGAAAAGCTCCAGGCGGGGTTAGAGTATGCGTGTGGTGATGGAGGCGCCGATTGTGGTCCAATCCAACCAGGTTCTACATGCTACAAACCTAATACGATCCAGGCCCATGCTTCGTACGCTTTCAACAGCTACTATCAAAAGAATGCTCGTGCCGCTGGGTCCTGCGATTTCAATGGAGCTGCTTACGTTGTTGATCAACCTCCCAGTAAGTACCATCAATATTTTAATCGCTTTATTTTTATTTTATTTTATTTCAATATATATTTTAAAATATGAACTTGTTGAATGGTGTCGTTTTCGGAAATAGAGTACGGTAATTGCGAGTTCCCTACTCAACCCATCGATGGAACATCGCCTGCCAATGGGACACCGCCCAGTAGTGGGACGCCGCCCAGCAGTGGGACGCC